AGGTGGTGTTCTTTTGGCTGTTCGGTCTGATCTTGACGCCACTACAACCCGACTACCAGTTAGCCTAGGTGCAGAAATGCTTGCCGTTAAAATTTCTTTTCCTAACAAAGAGAGTATTGTAATCTGTACTTGTTATAGAGTAGGAACTCTTGGGTTACCTAATCATGATGTCATAGTTAGTTATATTCGCAAGCTAGTTTCCAAAAAGAATCCCCCTAAAATCTATGTTATTGGTGATTTTAATCTCCCCCATACAGACTGGCTATCTTCATCCAGTACCGTACCTATTGAGCAATCCTTCATAGATTCTTTCAGTGATCTTTCTCTCTCCCAGTTGATCACATCACCCACCCATAAAAGTGGTAATACATTAGACATTCTTCTCAGTAATTATGATAACACAATCGATAACTTGAATGTCTGTGATCCTCATTCCGTGTGCAAATCTGATCATTTTCCTGTCACTTTTTCAATTAAAAGCTCCTTTTCCCGCAAGAAAACTCCTAAACGTAAAATCTATAATTTTAAGAAAGCAAACTGGGACATGATTAATCGTGAATTATGCTCGATTAATTGGCAAGTCCTAGAATGCCTAGATCCTGATTCGTCTTGGAAGTTAGTTAAAGACTGCATTATGAATTTAGTTGATATACATATTCCTAAAGTAATTATTAAATCAGAGTTCCAACCCCCGTGGTTCGATAGTGAACTTTTTTCTTCATGCCGTAAAAAAGATAGACTCAGAGCTAAATTTAAAATTTCTGGTTCTATTTCTGATGAGTTAAAGTTTGTTACTAGCCGTAAAGATTTTAAGAGGCTCTCATCAGCCAAAATAAGAGATAATCTTTTTAATAGTGATGATCCAGCGCTTATAACTAAGAAGTTTTGGTCACATGTTAAGTATAAATCTAACTCCTGCCGTATTCCTAACTGTGTTAGTTATTCTGGACAGCTTCGGTTCAATCCCAAAGATCAAGCTGAACTTTTCAATTCTTTCTTTTATAACCAGTTTTCGGATCCTTCACTTTATGACACTGACATCTCCTATGTCAATGATGTTGATTTTGATATTGACTTCGATCATCGGGATGTTCGTAAGCTTCTTTCAAATATTAATTCAAATAAAGCCCAGGGACCAGATGGCATACACGGTAAAATTCTAAAAATTGTTCCGTAGGTTTAGCTTACCCTCTAACATGCATTTTTCGTGGATCCTACAACAGCGGCTACATTCCACAAGAATGGAAACTTGCAAATGTTGTCCCAATATTTAAGAAAGGTAAGAAAAGTGAGGTTGAAAACTATAGACCAATATCCCTTACTTGTTTAGTCATGAAAGTTTTTGAGCGCATTGTTAAACGTAAACTGCTTTCTTTGACAAGTACCCTTCTTGATCCCAGGCAGCATGGTTTTCTAGAGCACAAGTCATGCACAACCAATATGGTTGATTTTTGTGATAGCCTGGCATTGTCTCTTAACGAAAACATTATCAATCATGTTGTGTATTTTGATTTTGCTAAGGCATTTGATTCTGTAAATCATGATATCCTTCTTCATAAGCTAAAGACCTTATATAACATTGATGGTACACTTCTCAAATTTCTTACCAATTACCTTCAAGGCCGTTACCAAAGAGTGGTTATTGGTAATGAGATGTCATCTACCCTCTCAGTTAAGGCCAGAGGGGGGGGTAAGGGGTCAAAAACATCGACCAAAATATTATTTTCTTAATCAATATAATTTTTGATGACAAAAACATTGCAACTATTCACATATTTGTAGCTGCTTAACTTTTTTAAATAATTGAGGTTAACCGACTTTCACAAAATTGACTATACAACATTGAGGTTAATAAAATTGAGGTTAATATTTTATTACACTCCATAATTTTTTGTTATTTCGGTCAGCAAATGTTAACTCTAAATTTTAGGTTCATAATTATCAAAAAAAGTAATATCCAAACGTTATTAAATGAGGTTAACCTCTTTTTTTAGATGTAGCGAGAATAGATCAAATGATAGAGCTATTATTTTCATCGTTAGTTTACGGTATACACATATCTAAATAGATGACGTGTTGATTGACTTTCTTTTATCTTGGGAAAATGAAAAAATGAGGTTAACCATCACATTTTGGTACTGTAGGGAATATACATACGATTCTTACTTATGTAATGTACCACAATATCGCAGTGAGGTATCTATTGGTATCACAATGCCTACAACTATAATCACGTGACAAAGGTGATTTGAACTGACCATATTTTAGTCGAAGATTTTATCCGTAAATGGCTAAAAAATGAGGTTAACCTCTCATTTTTTGAATATCTGACCAGTAAAATACATGTTAACCTCAAAAACTTAATCGTTACACTGTGCAAATGTTTTACTACATATATAATAACATATTAATAAACCAATCCCAGTGTTATATGGTCTAAAGCGAGGTTAACAACCAAATTTTTACTACTTTCGAGCAGTTAGTGTTTACAGGAAGTCTTGGTTAACCTCATTTTTTACAATACAAGGACATTAACTACTGAAAGTGGCTAAAATCGTTTAGGGGATGGCTAGGTCTGATCAAGCAAACGTTGTTAGGTGTATAGAAAGTCCTAACTAACGAACTGTGATACATTCCAGTGAATATTCAAAATTTTGAAAACACTAAATTGCATCTATCTCGAAACACATTTTGTGACTTTCAGTTCCTTAGTTGAGAAAACCAGCCACCCCCTGATATTGGGATTTGGTACAGTGGTTCCTTGGACAAGTATCTAGATATTAGATGCAGCGATTTTTTTATTTGACTCGTTTCTCGAATTATGAGGTTAACCAGCTAAATTTGTCGAATTTTTGACATGGTTAACCTCATAATTCAAGAACCGAGTCAAATTAAAAAAATCGCTGCATCATAAATGAGGATAATTGTCCAAGGAACCACTGTACCAAACCTCAAGATCAGGGAGTGGCCGGTTTTCTCAACTAAGGAATCGAAAGGTCAAAAAAGTTACAGCCGTTTAAAGATCCAGTTTAACATGTAATTACAGGTAAACCTCAAAATTTAGCGCGTGATATCTCAGGAACGCAAGGTCTGATTTTGATCCGGTTTTTTTCTTCTTGTTCGTCTCCAGCAACTATTATCAAATATGTGAAAACTAGAAAAGTGCCATTTACCCCCCCCCTCTGGCCTTAATTCTGGTGTCCCCCAGGGCTCTATCCTTGGTCCCTTACTTTTTGTATTGTTTATCAATGATATTCCTCTTGGCCTTTCGGATAATACTGATATTGTTTTGTATGCCGATGATACAAAAATCTGGCGTAAAATACATTCATCTTCTGATAATACCAATTTACAAATGGATATAGACTATCTCTCTGACTGGGCACTTAGAAACAAAATGCGATTCCATCCAGCAAAATGTAAAGTGCTTATTGTTTCAGGAAAACCATCTTTATCTCCTCCATTCGCATATAATCTTGATGGCTCTCCTCTTGTGTATGTAGAGTTAGAAAAAGATCTTGGAGTCGATGTTACTCCTAAGCTCAGTTGGAATAGTCAGTGCGACAGAATTTATACTAAGGCCTGCCAACAACTTGGTATGGTCAGAAGAGATGGCCATATTGTCATTGATCAGAAACGTCGCCGGGCGCTTTACCTCTCCCTGGTTCGTAGCCAATTCGAAAATTGTTCCATAATCTGGCGCCCTTGTAATAAATCACTTAGTGATAAATTAGAAAGTCTCCAAAAGAGAGCTATTAAATGGATTCTGTCTGAAGAGGGCCGCAGTTACCCACCTGAGCAATATGTCAAAAAGTGCAAGCTTGTCGACATTCTCCCTTTGTCTCAAAAGTTTGACTTGAATGATCTTATTTTTTTCCACAAAGTTCTGAACAATTTAATTCCTGTATGGCTGCCTCACTATCTCACTTTATATCAGGGCACTTCTCGACTAAGACGTTGCCACCTCGACAGTCTGTCTATTGTGTCATCAATTTTACCTAAGTTAAGTCAGAATTCACACACCTTATGTACCTCAAATAGTCCACTGGCAAAATCATTTTTCTACAGAACTCATATACTGTGGAATGGACTCCCTTTACAGGTAAGACAGATTGTGTCTACAAGTGTTTTCAAAGCTGAGGTCACTAAGCATCTATGGAAATGTTTATTGGATAGTGAAACAACAGCCTAGCCTAGTCTCTTTGCTCCCCATATTATTATTATTTTTGTTTTATTAATTTTTTTATCTACCTTCCTATACTTTCAACATCATATCACACTTCACCCGCACACCTCACACATTAATGACCATATCAGACCTGTATCTAATGTATCTGGAATTTGACGTATTGAAATACCAATTTTGACTATATATCCACAGTTATTCACCATGGATTTGTTTGTTATTAAATAGTTTTTCATAAATTTTTGGATTTAGATTAATTCGATGTAATGGGTCCAAGTTACTGCGGACATAGTTCACTATGTGTTTACCGTGTTTGGGTGCCCATCATATTTTACAGATGGGGGCGATATTTTGAACGATTCTATTTTATATTCATCTATTGCTGTACTCTGTAAAATTTGAAAAGTATTTAATAAAAAAAATATGTCCGCCTATGTCCGCCTATGTCCTGTCCTTTTTGGATTCTATGAGACAAGCGGACGTGACACCCCCCCCCCCCCCTTCAAGGCAAATAAAGGCAAATAAAATTGAAATTTTTTGTTAGAAAGCTTGCAAGACTGGCAAAATGTGAGGCTGTTAAAGTTTAATCCTAGCAAATACAAAATAATGCATGTTCCATTTAATGAAAATCCCCTTCAAGAATATGTATTTAGTGGTGTTACACTTGAATGTATTGAAGCAGCTAGAAAGATCTTGGAGTTTTAACTTCTTCAGATTTGAAATGGTCGAAACATATTAAAAGTTGTATTAGTAGGTTACGCAAACAGTATGATTGCATGGGTTACAAGGAATCTCATTATAAGAGAAATTAAAGTTATGAGAAATGTTTATAAAACTATAATAAGACCCCACTGTTGTCAACCATATCTTTCAGTGCATCTGGCACAACCTTGGATACCCGCTTGAAGCTTACAACAAGCGAGGGAATGGTTATCCAAGTGGCTACACAGTTACCGTGGGAACCAGTGTCAGTCAAGGGGAATAATTTATTGCACGTAGTGCACCGGCACCAATGGTGTGACGGATTAACTGGATCTTCTAAGGGCACTTGAAAGTTTTCACTGATCATGTTCAATATGTCCCATGTTCTCAAGCCTGAGCACATTATTACGCTGACGCTGCCAGTATTCGTGTTCAAACCAATATTTTTTAGCCCATTTCAGAAGACCTTCTACAACCTTTTGGTGAAGATGTGTACGTTCTTGCAGCCCCGATACCCTAGAATCAACAGCATCTTGACCATCAGTTAGTCTTGATCTTGACGCTCGTTGAGTAGGGTCCACCATTAATGGTTTGGCCAGGTGTTCTGTGTATTCCACAAGAAAGTACTGAGATGCTGCGTTAGGCGAGACAATCTTCAGATTCTTGAGGGCCATCTTCACTTGACCCACCAAGTTGACGTAACCATCCAAAGTCAATCCGGAGATCTGAAAATATAAATATCCAGCTTTAAGACTCGTAATTACGTTGAATGAAAAGCAACTAATGATGATGCTAACGTGATTTTTCACAGTTTCTAAACTTACAACTATTCAAACGTGATAAACATACTTACTTGAAATTGGGTCGAAAACCGTTTCAGGATTCTGGTTATAGCCCCAAGAAAGTAAATGTCAAGGAGCCACAACTCATCGGTAACAAGGATCAAAAACCCTCTAGCTTTCTCGACTAATTCGTCATTGGAGACTGTGTTGACTATCTCCTGAAGCGCCTCTATGTACAAAGCTAGATTATAAAAGAAGTTGCGCAATCGTAGAGTCGTGCGCGACGAACTTCATATCCTTATCTAGCTTTGGGTGTACAGGCACTTCGAAGACGCCAACCCCAGTTTACGTACGGTCTCGTACGGAACATTCTCTCTAAAAAACTTGGACAAAGAAGCAAGTGATTCCTTAGCTTTCCTGATGTCTGGGTACTCTAACAGTGTATGCTTCAAGATGAGTTCAATTAAGTGAGCGCCATTTTCCCACACCCAAATAACTTTACTCCTCATTGATTCATGTACACTGTCAGTAGTATCACAGAACAACTGGAGGAGACGATCTGACATTAAGTATACCGCCATCGGCACAGAGGCCACGATACGATCTCCTCAGTTGCCTCCGGTCCAACCCAGCACTCTAGTGAAACTCATAAATGGTTTGGGCAATGCCGGCACCCGACTGATCAATAGCCGCTGGGTGGCCCAGATAGATCGTGTTCACCAGGGTTTCACTGTCTTCAATGTCCATGTTCAGTAGTCGGATCGCAACGAGTGTACGCTTCCTCAGTTTGTCCTGATCTTTGTCGGTGATCAGTGAGAATGGCAAAGGAAAGGTAAAATTGCTATTGGTGAAGTAGCCTACTAGCTGTTCTCATAACAATTTTTAACCTTCATCTACCACTCTCGGAGGAAAGGCTTTAGAGTGGTTTAGATCCCCTACCTCAGCACCAGCAGAATCCAAAAAGAGAATCATCTCCTTGTAGTCCCTGATAAAAATATTATTCCATACAAATGGTTAATGTATATACATTGAAACAAACAAAAAAGATTTTAACAAAGCAGCAACTATAAACGAAAACTATTTCGATAACTTGTCAATCATATTCACGTCTGACGTCACCACTCACCTGTAGCTGTATCCAGACTTTATGTTTTTACACGCAGCAAGGACCAGGTTGAAAGCAGCTTTCTCTGCGACAGATTTGCCGTCTGCCGCCCGCCCAGTCATCTCTCTATAATACAGGGGCCCACTTGGAGTATTGTGCTCAGTTGTGGTCTCCACCTGCCTGCCATGGGCTACTATCATTGAACTGGAATCTAGAAGGATTTAAAAAGACTAATAATTTAGTAAACACAGGCAACTTTTGGTAATGTTTTTTGAAAAAATTATTGGTAGCAATGAATTGTGCTCTGCCAATTGCAACACTTAAAATTTGATTGTGCTCTGCCAATTGCATCACTTGATTTAATTGAATGTTTATATATTGTTTGACACAATTTTTATAATTATAGTAGTGTAAGAGGATTTTTTCGAGCTCCGTTTACCCCTAAAATTGGGGTACATTTAGCTTTAGCACAGTTGACTAATCTGCCACATTTTATCCAGACGTTACAAGTTCGAATCCCAGACGGAGTCGTTCTCCAATGTGATTATATTATTATGGTACACATTTTAACCTAGTTTAACCCATATTCAAGCAATCTAACCCTACATAATACATTCATCACACAACAGAAGTCGTTAAATGTATAGTGTACACGTTCACGTACAATTACATCAGTTGTCTATCGACATTATTAACATCTGGTTTGAGGCGACCTCTGTACAATGTACTAATAAAGTGATATAGTGACTTTCACTTAATATGTGCTAGCTAAATTTAACTAGAGTGTGCAGTTTAGGACAACACCTGGAACGTATCTTACACTACTACTTAGCGTTCAGTTGTGTGTTGCGTAAAAATTTTTCCCTGGTTCACCTAATTATTATTCAATTTAAATTTAAGCTTACCGTTTTTAATTCTTTTGATTGTAGTCGGTCACGTAACACTGACTGTTTTATATGAAATCTAGTTTATAAAGAGTACTCTCAGAATGGTCACTCTACAGCCTCATATCATTTTTGGTCATATATTATTAAATGTTGTTCAAATGTTGCTAATGTTGTCTAATATTGTTAAATATTGTCAATCAATGTTGTTGAATGTTGCTTATTATTTTATTTATTTTTTTAAAGAAAAGAAGAAAATACTGTATAGTATTCCAAAATTCTTATAACAAACGTGGCTTCGTATAATATCAGATTGTACATTCCTTCGAATTCTAGAATCAATAACACTTTTTTAATGATTAGTTATGGAAGAAGTGAGCAGTCCAGTAGCAAGTCCAGTAGAGAAGGAAGTTATTGATCTGGATGAGGACTCTGACTACGATGACGATAACGACAGAGTCAGACAGGACATGTATGAAGATTATGATGATTTGGCAGATTTCGCAGTCACTGCTTCTGACGAGCCTCCTCCCCCCGGCACCCGGGTGAGAATTGTTATGTTTTTAAGAAGGAGTTAAGGACATAAGAGGCTATTATAAATTGGAAACTTCAATATTTCCCCATTTTTTTCAAACAATGATCTCGCTGCTGATTGTTTAATGTTTATTCAGGTTAAATTTTGGAAAACCAAAAAATAATGAGGCAGTCAATGACTGTTATTCTTCAATTATTTGCTTTTGTTTTGATACAGTTTCTGTCTCACAAATATCCCATTATTAATCTTCTATTTTCCAGCCGTTGCAAGAAGAGCTGCTAACATTGATAACTGAGAACACTGTATCTGGTGTTACTATTAATAAGGACGATGTTGTTACTTGGCTGAGAAATGAGGAGGCAGCATTGACAGGTTAACATCTTATTTAAAAACAGCTTATCACTAAATTATATGTATAATGTTATGTTTCTCCGACAAGGCACTTGTTCGTAAGCTAACAATAACAATATCATGTTGTTATTGTAAACAATGCTATTATTTGCAAATAAATAACAAATTTTCTACAATTTGGATGCCCTTATTCACAAACTTACCAAACATGAAGATGAACAAACCCCCAAGATTAACAAACCCCGCCCTCTTCAGGAGAGAGCGCGCAGATCGTACCCCTCAGATTGTACCCCTCCCCACCCAGTAGTGTTGAGAAGTATTCAGAGTACGATCTCTCTGATGGCTCCAGGTAACTAGGCTCCTTAGGTTTATAGTTGGGTGGTTTGATGGTGTTGTATTATTGTAGGGGTCTAAAATAAAATGGTTAAAAGATATGGTGATGTTTGAGCTTGTTGAATTATAAATCAAGCTCCTATAAACAATTACTCAAAACTCTAGACGTCCTGTTACAAAGAAAATTATGTAAAGAGGAAGACACATGTTTCGACTTTTTATTCTCTTACATAATGAAAACTGAAATTTTTGAGACATTGGAGCAGCTTCTCGCTGACTGTGGACAAGATATCACCACAATTTTAAGTATGGAAGAGCGAGCTCTATTGGATGCAGTTATCATGACTACTAGTCTATCTGATGTCAACAAACTAATGAACGAGAACAAAAATATCGTTAGGAAGATTCATGAACTTTATAACCAAAACGTTGTTAACTATTGATAAGTATTTGGACATATATAATATATATGATATAGAGTTATTGAATATAGTTTTGTTTAATGTAAGAGTTAATGTAAGAGCCGCTTTAGAAAGCACTGGAGTTTATCTCCTGGATTAAATTATATCGAGTTATATGATTTAGCTATAAGGCGGTTTATAAAAGTTGTATTTATTATTATTATTATTATTATTATTATTTATTATTATTATTATTTAAGTTATCTTCAAAAATCTAAACGTGTTTCCTTGTCTACATTATAACTTATTTAAATAATACATTATAATTATCATTCAGTATTCATTCATATGATATAATTTTAGAAAGTAGAAAATATCTAGACCAGTTCTTGACAAGAGATTTGTGTCAAATACATTGCACAGATGTTACTGTAACTATGCTGTACAAGGCTTATGGCTATACAATGACGTAGTATTCTTGAGCTGCTGTATAGTAACCATCTGCATCCTGAAAGTGCTCTTTATAAATTAGATTTCATATCAAACAGTCAGTGTTACGTGACCGACTACGGTAAAAGAATTAAAAACTTAACCTTAAAGTTAAAGATAATAACAATTAAAGCTGAATCAGAGTCAAAATTTACGCAACACACCGCTGAACGCTGAATGATAGTGTAAGCAAAGTTGCAGGTGTTGTCCTGAAACGGTACACTCTGTCCCTAGTTAAATTTAGAAAGCTCATTATTCATTATCTCACTTTATCAGCACACTTTACAAATAAAAGGTCGCCGCGTGCCAGATGTTAACGTTGTTGATAGTGATACTTGGTGTTTCATTTATATCTAGAGACTATCTGAATAGAATACGAATCATCTAATTAAATAAATGTACAGCTTCATCTTCAATTACACAAGTCACGTGACTAGATAAGTCATGTGACAGGCGAAGATGATGACATGAAACCGCTGCACCAATCAAGCAGAAAAGAATGGCTTCGACTGGGATTCGAACTTGTAATCTCCGGCTAAAAAATCTGGCAGATTAGTCAACTGTGTTAAAGCTAAATGTACCCCAATTTTAGGGGTAAACGGAGCTCGAAAAAATCCTCTTACACTACTGGTCACTGGTAGGTTATAAACATACAAACGGATGATACTCGTTTAAATTTTTTATAGCACGCGGCCCGCCGCTTTTTTCCCCGAAATATTGGCCCGATACACAAATAAAATGACAAAGCTTCAAAACGTACAAAATAGCGCGCGCCGGGTCAGTCAGGAGTACAGTGTGGACCACAGGCTATAATGTTTACGCACAAACATTAAAGATTCGGCATGGCAGAATGACAGGTTGCTCTATATCCAGAGCCCTTGCGCTTGCAGAAGCGCGCGCCCGCCTCACGTCGGTAAAACTTGACTTCATGACATGTGTTACCTGAGGACCCCAGGCTATTATGTTCATTAACACGAATAAAGATTTGGCGGAATGACAGGCTGAGCGCGGCCCAGTAAGACATGTGAAACAAGCGCGCCCGCATGGCAGCGGCGCGATTAAAGCACATGGTAGCGCGCGCCGCTTTCTTCTCGAAATGTTATGGCCCGATACGATGAAGTAGCGCGCGCCGGGCCAGATCATTAACAATGGTCAAATAAGTTATAGCTTCTAGATACAACGCTTTTGACTTAAAGTTGTAAGTGCTAGTTTAAACTTTAAGTGCTACTTTGTAGCACTTGCCTCGGTGCTCGGGCCGCTAGTATAGCTAATATTTCGAGAGAAAAGCGGCGGCAGCGGCCAGCTCGCGCTACTTCGAAGAAATTTAGATGGGTATGGAGTAACTATAACATCCGTCAACCTGTAGAACAGAAGGATTTTCGACAAATCTGTTCCAAATCAAAATGTCAAAAATCATGTGTTTTACTTTTTAAGCAATTATGAATTAACTTTCGATTTTCTCCAGATCCTAATATACGATTTTTTGAAACTTTCTAGATAGTTCATAGTTATATGGTTGCAAGACGGATAATCTGTGAAAGTTTAAGCGAATGTCTATGTGACAAATTTTAGATATTATTCGTCTTATTATTACTGAAGCGTGGTTACGATAATAATGGAACAAATAAAATCTCCATCGTTTCGTTGTCTTCATCAATGTTTAACTTTGAACTTTAAGTTGAGCAATAAACATCTGGATCGTAACATAACATAACAATTAACATTTCTGAAATCCTATCAAAGTTCATATCGGTCTAATAATTTACAAAAATCCAATTCAAATTCAATGTCTGGCAATAAAATCTACATCTCTGAAAAACTAAACCCTCATTAAAAACAACAAATATTCTTGCTTCCATAAATGTCTGCGAAATTATCTATGATTTATTTTCTTTACAACCAAAATAACAATTATACACTACTTTTACTGACCAAAATATTAATCCACTGAACCACTTTGTAGCTCTATATCTGCAACAATCTTTAGTTAATAAATATACACAGTTTCTACTAATATGTAATATAACTGATCCGCTGAAGCTGAGCATGTCCAATACCCTGAAAATACTACCTATGTCCATATCTAGCTATAGATACAAAAACACCATAATCTAACGGCAATGTTTCTGTTCAATTACCCAAAATTATAGTCTGCAGTCTACAAACAGCCTTATGCTCTTATAGTTGAACCTATAATAATAGCGGGGAGGAAAACTGGAAACGCACTTTGAATTCTGGGAGTAGAAATTAAACAAGTGGTAAATGCGAGGGAACACTCGTTTCTGATCTGAATATCTCCCGTGTAATTAGAAGTAGCGTGTCTTCCGATGACCTGTAGAAGGGTTATAGAAATTACAGCTGTTATCATCTCATTTACGGCGTGTTTTTTTCTAAACTTCCCAAACCGTGAGTCTGAATTTTGAAGAAAAAATTACATATTTACCAATAACAAAGATGCGATGATAAGGAAAATAAGTACTCGTTGACAATTTCTAGGGGGGACTCCTGGAGTACATAATCTACCCTCTCTCCTCTGTTCAGTATTCCACAGTCTATTCTTGTATCGTTACTGCTCTCGCTTACTGAAAGTGAAACAATGGTTCGGTCGATATAACTGGATATTATAATTATTAATCATGTTTCCAAGCGAATTGAAATTAGTTTTTACGAATAGAAAGTATTTGGATGAGTTTTGAAATCAATTATCGTACCTTCTTCTTGAACCTTATTTTCTTCCTCCGGCTGAGTTGAACTCCCGTTGTAGAAAGATAGAATAGTGTTGGAAATCTGGTTCTTAAAAGCAAACCCTACTCTCGCTATCTGATCAGTGATCTCTGAAATATCAAGATAAGAGAAAAACACACAACAATCTGTAAGTTATGTTATTAAAAACACACAAAACTTCTTGATTCTCGCCACATTGAAAGAGTTGATGAAGGAGTAAGATGCTGGACTTACCCTTGTGCATACGTTTCCTTCCTTTGTGATGAGGTAGTATAACAGGATCTCCTTTCTTCCCGAGAATCAGCGGTTCTAATTTGTACGCCTAAATATTATTAGTTTAAATAGCGATATAATTGTACATATAATATCTTTAAGGTAAAGAAATTCCCAGAACCGCGGGTATTTGTTTTAAGAAAGCAATATTAGAAGTTTTAAGATAGACTCATCTGAATGTGAGACATGAGTATACATTTTCCCAGACCTTTTGTGGAGGTAAAAAGTACAACTAAGCCAGAATATATTTAAAATTGGCTGCTATTCTGGACCAAACTTGGTTCGTTAATCGTTATCAGTGCGGTCAGAAGTTATTAGCAGATTAAAGTAATCTAATAAGTAGATTATTAATTAATTATCTAGACAAAATTCGATTAATCTCTACAGTAAGTTTGGTATCTGAACATATGAGAGCCTGGCAACAAATTATAAACTTTATTCTGTTAAATCTGTTGATTTCAATCTTTTATAAAATAAACTATTACATTTTCATCATTCATATCTTTTTAAGAGCCTTAAAGCGTTATTGTCTTGTGATATGGTAGTGATATGAAGATTTTATCATATACAATATATATACGTCATATTGTACAATATACGTTATATACAATACTAGAAAGTCCGTGGTCACAGGGAGGAAGCTAATAGTATTCTTTGGTAGTCAGTTTTTATAGCATCAATAAATCCGTCACAACCGAAGACACAGCCGATTAAAATGTAGCTCGCACTGAACACAACGTAATTACCACAAAACCAATCAAAATGTCACTCGCAAATCTTTACAAGTGCGCGTTCAACACCGTTACCATGGTAACTATGCAACTTCCTATTTCTTATCTTATTTGCATGTGGGCGGTCGTACAGACATACATTCTACATACAGAATAATTCTCTGGATTATAAGTAAGATACGTCAAGTAAGTACGTCATGTACAATATACATTGTACCCTTATAGTTATTGTCATGATCAAAATTATGTTGTACAAAATGTACATGATGTAACAATTTCAAAAATTCAGAAGTCCTTGTCCACAATCACATTCACAATTTCTGTTTTGTTCAAAAAATTTGGTTAAAATTGGTTCTTCAAAGTTAAATATTAGTAAAAGTCCACCAATTTATCGCGACTTTATTAGTTTATCAAGTGTAGCTGAATTATGTGAAATAAGAATTTTCTTCTTCCTATTAGGAGAATGGTCATCTTGCCAGAAAAAGTAGGGTAAAAAATAAAAGCACCAGTTGATCGGAAATATGTTAAATAGGTACTGAAATCGTGAAATTGAGTTTCTAGCATGTTGGCGAACACGAATATAAGCAATTTAATGTTGATTGGGTGTGGCCTATAAAAATCGAATTTTATATGTTTGCTACGGAATCCTCGAATGAGTAGTTGCAGTATAGGTCACATGAAATACAGTCCCCATGTTACACGTTTGCTAGTGATATGAGTTAGTGTACACTTAGTCACTGTGTGTACACTAACTCATATTACGCATAGTCACTATGCGTACACTATCTCATATTACATAGCCATAGTGATACATAAGCTTAATTCATTTATTACTTCTCAGTTTGCTCTTTTATCATCCTTTTAATATTAATTTACGCACTGTGTGTACATCTTTGTCATCATTTTTTCGTTGTCTTGCTTTGAACCCCCCCCCCTCCTCAACAACAGTTATATGAATTATTTCAGGATGGGAGACACTCAGTTAATCATACTCACAGTTCGAGATCACGATCCGCTTGCGGTTAACCGGAACATATTAACTCAGAATAGTTCAGTGTTTTGCAGATTTATCAATGAACTTCACATGACTGAGATTGAAATGGACGATTTTGAATTCGACAATGTAGCTATATTTCTGTCATTTCTGGACAGCGGACATATATCCTTCTCAGGCATGAACGGTAAATCAGAAGCACCTTTCGAGGAAAAAACTTTTCGTGAACTTCACAAGTTGTCCATGGTGTTTGATGTGCAGTGGTTACTTGGATCCCTGCAGAGATATTTTCAGGGTAGAATATTTCAGATAGGGAATTTATACTCAAAAAGTCTTAATGATATCGAAGCAGTTGAGTTTAAAAAAGAAGCGAAATTTGTCATGGAGGAGTCAAGGTTTATGTTTGAAAAGTGGGGCGAGGAATTTTTAATATACATACATACCTTAACAGGAGTAATAAGGTTATTACCAATCGACCTAATTAAGGCCTTTCTGGAAGAGTCAATCTCAGATCTGAATAGTGTGACACTGTTTGATATCGAAACTCTGCTCACAATAGCTGAGCCCCTTCAATTGGATATTTTCCTAAGGCAGATATTGAAAGAATTAGCAGAAATCAGCAATTTTGGGGAGAACTTGATTTTTATTTTAGAAAAGTTAAACTTGATACTCAGTCAGATTCATTTCCCGGAGTTGAATGAGCAGGTTTTGGATTTGTTAGTTGACAAGCTTGACATTATACCACATAAAGATACAAAATTTGTTTTCAAATTTCTGACCTATAATGCTCACAAAAAAGTGTTTCCACAAAAACCACTCAAATCAGTTTACGACGCAAAGAGTTTTGAATGGTTCAGAGACGGTATCTTTGAAGGCTGCAGAAATAACCCAGACAATTTCTTATTTGTAGCAGAGCATAAACATGTCCGCAGTATCAACACCTTTATAGACTACATCTCGTATGTCTTGTTAACATATGGAGAGGATGAATTGCCGGAGATCAACGTCACTGAAATATTAGGACAGCTAGTGAGTAACTATTACAACAGGGATCTTAACAAAGCTCACTCGAGTTATGCTCAAAGTGTGTCAAATACACTTGTGCGTCTTCTTGGCGGAGGAAGTGAAAAGAGGAAAAAGTATTTTGAGCTATTGGAAAGAATTGAAAGGAATATTAACTTATTCGACGACTTCGACAATGAAATTATTTATTGTGACACGGAAACGAATGATCAAGCTTTTATGTTCCATTTTAAACATCCCGGAGTTCCTGCCTGTTCGAGAAGTGGAAATTGTGGATTTATTCTCCAACGAGGTAGCTTCACTAATTCATTGACTGATAAAGAGGTTCAGTTCATCAAATTTCACCGAGAAGACAAATGGTCCTCTAAGAAATCTAAAGATCAAATTCATTGTCATGATCTTATTTTACCAGAAGAATTGAGCTTATTGTACGTTCACTTCGAAGCTACGAAAGGGGAGCGCATTTGGGGTGATAATCCAAATTCTGTTTTACCGCTCCCTCTGTTTGAAGCTTTGGACACTATCCCAAACTTGAAGATGGACAATTTTAAAGCTCATACAAAATTCGTGATCTATAATATATCTTACTATCAAGCTAAAAAGCGATATAATGATGATTACTTTAATGTCAGAAGTTCAAATATGACGGCAAAGAAGGAGGGGCAGATCAGTGATGGGGAGAAGGAGGGGCAGATCAGTGATGGGGAGAAGGAGGGACAGATCAGTGATGGGGACTGCTCTATTCAATTTTCGCAGCTTCAAATGAGCGACGAGTGATAAAGCGGTCCTTTTAATCAATAAAATATGATTTTAATGATTACTATATGCAAAAGTATTTCTTGAAAATGTCATATTAATGTATTTTGTATAAAATTTCAGTTTTTATAGCATCCAGAACTTTTTTGAACTTTTTTATCAAGCAAATTTATTCGTTAGAATTTTGGTTGCCACACCGTCTCAAATGGAAAATTAAGTTTCTAAACACACTAAAGTCTGGTTAAGACGTGTAGTGGTACAGTCTGGTGAATATGATAAAGTAAAGTATGTTAAATTTGTTGATTTTAATCTTCTATAGCATCCTGTATAGAAGATATAAAACATGTGATTATTTTAACCGTTCAAGTCTATCCATATTACATACTGCTAATGAACGATCATTCAATAGTCCAATTGTTTGCTAGTCTCTTAGTCATAATTTGTATTAAAATAAGTTGTATGATAGTTATTTTAAGATTTTCGAATAAATATGTTTTTCAATTTCATGAACAACATATATTTCTTGTGTTTGGAATCATCAAATCAAGTTGTACCAACCGACCCAACTATCAGTTCTCAAAGTTATGATAATCGTTCCCTCATAAAGCAGATAAAAACGAGCTGAACACATATACTATGAGCAAGGTGATGATAACTGCGAGGATACAGGAATGCAGCAAGAGAGGTCCCCAACGTGCTCCCAACCATCCCTGACGCCATGGTTAATCCACTTCCTAACTCGAATCCTGACTTCCCATAGTAATTGTAGTCGAATAATAGTAAAGCAACTTCCACTGCCTGTATGGAGTAACACAACTTAGCCAGCCCTAACAGAACCTCGGAAGCAATCAGGCCGGGTTCTGCCAGAATAATACCGTAGCTAAGAACTATTGTAGTCGTGATCGTAAATTTCAGGGTCTGGAACTTTACACGACTCCTCAGAAGATACCCAAGTGGTCCTATCACGTTGGTAGCACCAGTAACTGCCGCTAGAATCAGGAAATCGTCACCTTGCAATACTTCCTCACAATTACTAACTTCTTTTTCAAGAGAAATATCTCTCTTGTAGCTTCTTATCAGCCATGTAAAAAGAATAATGCTTCCAACGCAAAGGTTTGAGAAGCAAAACAGACTAGATTTAATGACCCTAGCGGTAAAATTCGGTACATTATTTGGTTTCGTGTTGATTTTGCTGCCAGTTTCAGTTGGAACAATATTGATTACAGCAACTGGCTCAATTTCTCCTTCAACTTCCTCTGGCTTTTCGATGCAAAAGTGAAACTGATGATTGGAGAAACAAATAGTGGAATAGAAGTCAGCAGAACGAAAACTCTCCAGTTCAGCAGGTCTAGAAATAACCATCCGAGCACTGAAACCCAAGCTCCACCGACCGGGAGAGCGAAACCACTTGATATAAAAGAGCTTTGAGTTAGGACTTCTTTAGAGGAAACAAGCTTGGCGAGGAATATTCCAGTTGTGCAGCTGTTCAATCCAACGCAGCTCTAGAGAGAAGAAGGGTGTAATAAAAGATAGCAAACACAATCGAAAGATAGAGTGACAAGAGCAGTGTGAATCGTTCTCCATTCTTTCTGAGATGTAGACTGCCATCATGGTTGGGTTTGCCCAGAAAAATAGAGAACCAAAGCGCAACATCAACCGTAATGCTGATAATAAATCTGTCTCAATACCATAAGCACGCCCTCAAGCATCACAGAATCAATTTCACTGAATACCATCTCAGTTACACTGCCAACAATTCACTATCCACAACGGCATGATGCTATGCGACAAAATTTTGGAATAGCTAGCTAGCTGTAGCTATACGCCTGTTTCCACTCTAACAACTCCAAAAGTGCATTAATATGATAATAAGGTAATTTCCATGGGTGGTAACTGGTATCAATTAGCAGGTAGCTAATTATCATGACGTAGCTATTCGTTAACCATGGTAATTGTAGAACGCTACCGGTTCTAAAACTAACAAAAGGGGGAAATTGTAGACAAAGAAATCAGGGAAGTGACAATCAGTAACATCCTCAATCCTCATGGAAGATAATATCTTGGAAATGGTCTCATTAGGTAAGAACCATCGTTCATGTTATTTGCAGTAAACTGCATAACGACTTTGTTAGTACTCTCAGTGTAGCTGAATTATGCAAAATAAGAATTTTCCTCTTCCACAATGGAAGCTGCAAAACATCAAGAAAACAAACAGGGTACATTGGAAAGGCCTAATACAACGGAGAAAGGAGTTACTATGTGGTGCAGGTCACTCCAACGACTAGGAGGAGACCTTTCCAAGTACAAGTAAGCATAGGTAATAAGTAAATTTGTCTGTTTGTAGGGTTAAAGAAAAGCGCCAGTTGATCGGCACTGTTAAAACGGAACTGAAATCGTGACCCTTCATGATTTGTTTCAGGAGTTTTTTTTTGTCTCATTTGAACTACAATTTATCCAGTGTGTATGAAGATAGCACAATCCATTAAAAGAATCCGCGCTAGTCCATCATATTCTCATGATTCTACAAACAATGAATATTGTGTAATAGTGCATCAGATTAAGCTTGCAATGTATCATTTAATAAGTGTTAACGATGTAATTTGAGACGCATAATCCTTCTATGAGTACCAAGTAATCAATACTTCCAAACTCTACAAAGTTAAAAGTTGTCCTTTTGTTTTGTGATGCCAGTAACGATCCCGTTGTGGTGCTATAAGTATTCCCTGTTTTCCACGTACCCTAGTTATTTTGTATTATGCTAGTTACTAGTGAGTACGGTAGTGAACCTGCGGTGTTATGAGCTAAGGTGCGTTTTTTGGGAGGTCATTACAACAAATAGACAACAAATAGACAGACTATAATATCGACGATTGTAATTCGACTGATCTGATACAAGTTACACAGTCCATTCTTAATGTTTGACTCTTTCATCAGTTTAATTAAGTCATGATTTGTCATCTGTGTCAGTCGTCAGACTACTTCCTCAGGACTGTCTGTTTTTTTAAAAAGTTCATTCTTCTATGATTTTATAACCAAACATTTACTTCAGATAAGCATTTCGATAAGAAGGCTTTGTGAAATGGATTATAATATGGAAAACCAGATAGATGTCACAGAAATTTCCAACAAGTCTCAAATCCACCGATACCTTGAATACTGCTTACCAGTGGTCTGTACCATATCCCTGATCATCACCAGCATCAATCTCTGGATCTTACTTCAAAACGAACTAAGAAGGCGACCCTCTCATTTCATATACACAAACATGCTCCTGCTAGATCTTATCACAATAGCGGGTGGTATCTGTATCGAGATATCAATCTCGACTCATGGCAAAGTGTCTGATGATGCTGATGATTGCTTCGATATTATTTATCACATTAAGTTCTACAGCGGAGTAACGATGTTGTTTGGACTGGGCGTGTGCAGGGTTCTATCGATGAAGACAAGCGCTACTTTTTATGTACAGTTCGGTATAAAAATAGCCAATGGTTTTGTGATTTCCTCCTGGTTTCTGGGGTTTATAATCAGTATTTTACGGAAGACACTTCTTCAGACTAGCGAAATAATGGTGATCAGCAATGTGTCCTTGTTTCTCCTGCTGTCTTTATCAACTATAGTCATCAACCTCTACATACTGGTGAAAATAATCCTAGCAAGAGAGCGCATATCTCAAGAGATTTATCGGCAGGCCTCTAAAACAGCTCTGTTACTTTTCATGAACGCAGCTATTTGGAACACAGTATACGTGATACGCTGCATTGCATTTCTAGTAATCCTCGCCACAACAGGTGAAATGAAAGTTGATTGTTCAAACCTTGCCTTGGTATGGAGACTATTGCTCTGTGGGTTTGTTAAAGATCACGAGGCTCGTCACGTGGTGGAAATTGTGTTTTTAGCGGAGAGTTTGGGGAACAATCTGATCTTGATAACTCAGCCAGAAAGTAGGGTGATGCTAAGGTACGTGTGGGGACAGATACGAGATGCTGTTTCACAACGATTTAACACGAATCATGGTTACGAACAATTTTAGGATGAGTGATCAGGTGTAAGTGAACATTTGAGGCTGGAATATGTTTTGCTATATATAGCAAAAAGAAAATATAGCAAACAAATATATATATATATTTGTTTGCTATATTTTCTTTTATTTTCGGCATTGATTTACTTTCTGAATCGGGTTCTTTTCTGCATTTAAATTAGAAAGTCTTTTCCTTATTGTGTTCATGGATGAATTTCACCAATTTGAGATATTATTCTTACTCTCAGCTAATCTTTTTACCTTCCACAAGATCCGACAAAAAAAATTCAATGTAAACTCACCACAGGATCGTACTGAAAAAGTGATGGTTTAATTGGTGAAATTGTTTACAAAAACAAATATCTCAGTTAGTGGCGTAATGTAGGCCCATTAACTCGTTAATTTATATTCTATAAGAATACAGATTATAGTGGTGACACAATTTATAGAAATAAAGAATCTGATTAGAAGATTCTGGAGAATCAAGAGAATCAGTCTTATTCCCAAAATCACGACATCATTAGGTCATTATGTTAAATGCTCTACTCACTGGATGGAAAATGTTGAAAAATCGTTTGCATGTGGGAAGAGAGAAGTCTTTACCAAGAGAGTGGACTCCTCTGACGGCTAGGAAAAGTCCCAGAGGGCTCCCTAATGCGAAGAAGTGCTCAGGTTGGAAGGAGAGATGAGCTGCACTGACCACTGGTTGACCTGTACCGGATACTTCTGAATTCTGGGAGAAAAGGTGTTATCTATGAATATGGAGACCATAGGATACACAAGAATCAGGAGCAATGTTTCGATAAAACTTCGAGCTCTACTGCTTTTTAAACAGAACAGTTAATGCTGTACCATCTGAAATAGCTTACATTGTATTTGAGATATGAGAAGGATCTGGACACTGTTCTTTCTCTCTTGGGAATATTAACAGAGGAAGACAGTGGATCAGGGTTATCTTCACTAGTATCTGTCTCTGTCAATTCAGGTTCTGTTGAAACTTGTTTAACTTCTGTCTCCTTTTGAGGTGTAGAAAGTGGTTTTGTCTCCGATTGGTCAGATTTTTGTCCTGACTGTATCAAGCATTCTGTTGAGCTGGTATCCTGAAATAATGAACATCTAAATATAATACGAGTGCAAAATCTCTGCATCACTCTTTATTTTGAGGTAAAATATCCGAAAAATAACGAAAAGTAATACAAGAAAGTGCTTGTGGCGCTAATAACTCACTAGAGATGTGTTCGCTTTATCCATCCTTTCTTTGCCTTTTTCTTTGTCTTTTTGATCGCCCTGAGAGGAGGTTTTATTTAAATATATATTAATCTTTAGTTTAGTGAGGATGGCGGATACAAGGTCATTCGAAATTGTTCTAGGAGAATAACACGCAAAATTAATTCAATACTGACCGATTGCTGTGAGAGAATGTCGAACGCAATAACCGAACCTGAAATGAACGTTAATAGTAAGACTCGAGTCCCATCGTGATAAAAGGGTTTCAATAAAAGGAGTTTATTTGTATAGTATACTCGCAGTTACTTATCTGCACCCTAACTTAATTATCGTAATATGTAATACAGTATAGTCCCCCATAATAGCTAATTAACATCTGTTCGTTTCTGAGAAATCCTATACGCGCGCGCAACGTATCAAGATCCGCTTAAACATTCGCATGTACATTAGTAAATCTCGATAAAAATACGTTTGAATTCGCGCGTCACGTCTCGTATAATACAGCTCAGAGCGATTGAGACTAGCGTGCTGCGATGAATGGGGACTTACCAGTAGCAGTACTGAAGATGACACAAGATGACACAAGATGACACAAGATACGATAGAGGTACTGAAACTTCAATTCCAAGAGAAAACTTTGATAAACGGAAAATCATCAGAAGAGAAGAAGAGATTTTTGAATCCCGAATCTCGGCAACGATATAGAAAACATTGAGTAAACAACAATCAATCAATGATTGTTCGTGTAACTGTTGATTAGTTTTATTTTTGCCCCCGAAAGTGGGTCTGATATTACCTAGGCTGTGGCCGACGATCGAAGTTTTTCCTGCGAAGTTGGGGTTTCGAGACAAGAATTTGCTGTACAATCTATTCATTTCTGATCCGCACTGCTCTGTTATGGTCTGCAATAAATACCGTGATGAAAATATGCAACAGTTTTCTTTCATAAAATAGTATCAAAATATTATTCGTGATAGAAATAA